GGTACACACTGCGGGAGACATTGCGGGGAATTTGAGGGGTATTTGGGGCGGGTGTGAGGGAGGGACACGGCAGGTACACACTGCGGGAGACACTGGGGGGAATTTGGGGTGGGTATAAACATGGAGGACATGAAGGGAGGGCATGGCGGGGCACAGGGAGGACGTGAAGGGGATATGTAGGGAAGAGGAAGGGACAGGCCGGGGACATAGGGAGGACATGGGATCATGGCAAGGGCACAGGGGTAGACAGGGAAACATAGGTGGGTGAGGAAGGGAACACAGAGGGGCTCTGCCACAGCTCCCATGCTGTCCACACCAAGCTCTCAACAGATACCCCCCACACACACATGGGGTCAGTCCTTCATGAAGTTTCTTTCCACAGGGAAGCAATGATTTGCACCCCCGTGATGGGCCTGCAGTGGGATTCTCAAAGCTTGTTAAGGAGCTGTAGGTCAGGAAGGCGAGACTTCAACCCTTTCCATGCCAGGAGCATTATCACTGCCCTCAGGAGTGGCTGGTGCTCTGGGCACTCTGCTCTATTCCTGGAAGCAGCCTGGGATGAAGCTCTGGGCAGCACAGGGTGACCCTGACCCCTCCCATGTACCCCACTTTATGAGACCTCTTAAACCCTGCTTACCCAGCTTTCCCCCCCACAAGGTGCAACCCTCAGAAGTCACAGCTCAGGAAGCGAGATCTAAGCTCAGCTGGGAAGGAGGAATGACATGAAAGTGCCCTGTTTGGAGCTGGAATAAAACAGAGGGAAGGTGGCAGCCATGAGGTCAGGCTGCCAGGGAGATAAAGGAGAGAACAATCACTCGTGCTGGGACCTCTCTTTATTGCAAGGGAAATACAAAAGATGGACAGCAGCATTCAAGGGACCACAGCACCCCCTGCTACTGGGAAACAAGGAAGAACACTCCGTGGAGATTTCCCAACCCAGTTTTCAGTTGATCTCACATTCCAGATAGAATTCCTTGGCAGAAGGGTAAAACATTTCTTTCACAGTGCATCAGAGAGGGACAAGGGGCTGAGCAGTTTTGGATTCCAGACCCTTCCCAATCTCTTCACTACTGGGTTTTCCTTCCCTCAGGGATGTTAATTTATAACTGCACGTGGATATTTACCTGGATTTCTGGCAGGAAGGTACCGAGTGCTCCAAATGTCTGACAAAAGAGACAAAACAAACCCCAGACACCAGGTCCAGGCACACACATGTGGTGCCAAGCTCCACCATGCCAAGGGCCCTGCAGAGCCAGCCCTATTCCTCCAGCCTCACCTGCGCCAGGTGCTCTCTTATACCTGAGCTGCAGAACCTGCTGCTCTTCCCACTTTGGGGTTTTCTTCAGCTGCAACACCTTCTGTGTTTATATCTCTGAGTCTGGTGCAAAGAGCGAGATGATGCAATAAATTACTTGAATTCCTAAAAAGTGGGTCCATGCTGGTTTTGCATGACAGATAAGCCTGTCAGGCATTACAGGTGTTCCAGCTGACAGCAAACCCCTAAAACTGGCTCCCTACACCCACCAATTTCAACAAGGCAGGGAGAAAAGTCAACATGAGACCATCAGATGGGCTGGGGTGGCCTCATCCTCCTGTGTGACCATGATTTAGCCTACAGAAGAGATTACAAATGTGCTGATAATCCTTCACTGTGAACCTTTGTTTGCCACAAGGCAGGAGATGCTCCCAAACTTCTACGTACAAACACCTGAGAGCAAGGACATGAGACACAGCCCAAAAGTGGGTGGCAGCTGTGGAAATGCAGTACCAAAATCATGGGTACAGCTGATTCTCCAGCATCTGTCCCCAGTTCAGATGCCATAGAAGATCTGGAGATTTAATTTCCATTTGGGCTGTTCCCCCAAAGAATAATATATTCCACTTCAGCCCATTGTAGTGATTCCATCATCCTCTATTTCTGGATTGAAGAAAGGTGCCAAGGACCCCAAGGACTGGTTTCTCCACATGATCAGAGAGTTCAAGGGCTGTTGAAACACACCAAGTGCTCAACTCTTCACCTCCACCTTGAGCTTCAGACGGACATCACACAGGAAAACATTCATCAGGTCCTGGCCAGCCTCGCGAGCAATCCTGCTGATGACCTTTCCTCCTCTTCCAATCAACATCCTCTGTGTTAAAACCCGGAGAGAACATCATCAAACTCACCCTTACATTGCCCAGGAGAACAGTGCAGCCACAGAAGCAAGGAGGGAAATTCCAACATTAAACTGTGAGGCAACTTCGGGGAGGTGTAAGTTGCTACTGAGCAGCCAGTACTGGGTACGTGGCTCTTCCCAAAAGAGAGGGAACCACAGCAAGGTCTTGGACTTGGGGAACCTCCCTTCACTCTCCCCAGCACCCCATCTTTCTTTCTTCACTCACCTTATGAGACTCCCTTGGCACCAGGAGGCTCTGCATGATGAGGAGCTCCCCACATTCTCCTTCCTCCCATATCTCCGTCACCTGTGACAGCAAGAAAGCACTCGGCAATCCTGGAAAATCCTCAGGAACTCCAAACACCACTCCTCTGGAGACACCAGCACACAAGGGTGGCCTCTTCACACACAGAAAGGGCCTTAGAGCACACCAGAGTTGGTGTGTCACCCCACAGTGCCTGTCAGATCCCACAGATCCAAAGGGATTCTCATCACACAGCCCAAAAATCCCAATAAAACAAGCTCATGGCCAAGTCTGCCAGTGCACACTTCCCACCTGAGTCACTCCATAAGGCACTTCCAGGGGCAGGTACTCCAGGACCTTTTCCCTGATGATATTGTCACAGATCTCTTGAGGAGACTGGCTGGTCAGCACATTGCTGTGGAATTCCCAAGGGCCTGGCTTGGCTTGCATCAGGAGGTACCTCTGTGGGCACAACACACTCCCCATCAGCTCCCACACAGTGCCAACACCCCTGTGCTCCTTCTGCACAGAGGGCACTGCTGCTGGCCTGGCATCAGGGCACTGCTCTGGTATTTTGGGCAGGGAAAAGAGAAAGGGAAGCTCTGAAATCCCTCCCTAGAGCTGTGTGTATTGGTCACAAAAGCCCACAGAACCCCTGGAGCTGAGAGACAGCAGGGTGTGGATTCATTGTTGTGAACAAGCTGGTGATTGGAGAGCCCCAGGTAAGAGTTTTGTACAGAAAACTCTGGGGATGCAGCAGGGACACATCTCACATTGACACGTGACACTTTCCTCCCATCCCAGGCCAGGAACAGAAGCTGAGGCTCAGTATGAAGTGCTGGGGTCCCATCCCAGTCTCCAGGTGTGACACAAGTTCAGACTGGAGTTACCTTGAGTGTATCCACCTCCTCCCCATGGAGAGCTGCCAGCATGAAGATCTCCTGGAAGTGTGGCCATCCTTTCGTATCTTTTAGATCCTCGGGTTCATGGGCTTCCCCTGTGCCAGCACCCCCAACATCACTGCTCTTGTCCAAACCAGAGCCCTCCTGGGCCTGATTCTTTTCCTGCCCAAAGGGAGGCCCTGGGACCTTGCTTTCAGGTGGAGAAGTCTGTGTGATACGAAGGGGAGACTTTGCTGAAGAACTGGAATCCTGTTTAACTGCAGATTTCACTCCCAGTTTCTTTCCATTTACAATTCCCTCTGTCAGGTCAGTTATTATTTCCAGCAGGAGAAACTTCTTCTTTAGTATGTCCACCTGAAGTCAGAGAGAGAGAGGTGTCAGGATTTATCCTAAATGAAGTGGGCAGCTGGGCCTGGGATCTGAAGGAGCCAGAAGAAACCACCCAGGGAAGCAGTTGCTGCAGGACAGGACAGTTGTGACCAGAGGCCAAACCAGAGTGTGTCAGCAGTGCCAGTTTGCACAAACACTGAGAACCTGTCAGCCCTGCTGGGATTCTCCCTAACCCTGACCAACCTGGCTCCTCTGCCCAGATGGATTTAAACCTCAGACAGCAGCACAACTTTCAGTGCTTGTGCACGCAACAGGTACACACACACCCCTTGATATTCTGGAGTAGGGGGGAAAACCTGCATCCTTTAACACACCAGGGACCCAAAAACCCATCTGCTGATGCCAGGTGGTGCCTGAAGAAGGCAGGAAGAACAAGCAGGATTTACCTTGTTCAGGACCAGGACACTGGGGATGTGGGGAAACTGAGACAGGCACTTCAGCACCTCCTTGCTCAGAGAGTTCCGTGTCCAGTGATCCGACACGTCCACCAGAACCAGGACTACCAGGAAAGAGGGAGGGAAACAGGATGAATCTACATTTTCCACAATGTTCACTTGCAGCTTTAGAGTTTATGGTCACTCCTCTCCTCAGAAGAAACACAAAAAGAATAATTTTATTGACAAAACACTAAAATGCAGCTTACCCATGTCACCCTAATGACATCACACGTGTTAAACCTTAACATCCAAGCCCAATTATTAACCCAAAGTGCCTCCCCTTGGCACCAGGCAGTTCTTATCCCTTCCTCAGCTCAATATTCCAGATCTTTTCTCTGCCCTTCCTTCCTTCCTTGTTCACACTCCCTGGGCTGCCTGTGCTGCCAGCAAACACCCAGCTGGGAACTTGTGTGGCAGAAAAGGATTTGGTTTGATCCAAAAAGAGTTGAAAACCCACCTAAATCTGCATGTTTCATGCTGTCCCACGGGTCTGTCAGCATGGTTTCATCTAAATTATGCCTGAAAGACACATACAAATGACTACACCAGACACACTTCATTATAATTATAATCCTCCCCCTCAAAGTAGAGGGAAACCAGTGTTTTCCCTCATTCCAGCTGCCACAAAGCTGCTTTAGGGGTTGTGACATGCCTTGTCATGTGCAGACAAACAGAACCATATGCAAAAAGGCTCAAGGGACATCACAGGTTCTGTGTCTGACTGAAATTGCAACATAAAAAATCCCTGGAGACCAAAATAAGGCTAAAAATACACATTTGTGTCACTCCTAGTTTACAGACCTTGCACAATGAAAATCCCATTCCTGTTTTATCAACCCCTGATAGGCAGCACCACTCCCCCTCCCCACACCAGTGGTGGTACCTTCTGGCTTTTAAGGGGTTAGTGAGGCCAGGCGTGTCCAGAATGATCTAGGAAAAGGAAAAACAAATGTTTCAAGTTTGCCAGCAGTGAGAGGTTGGGGTAAAACCCTATCTTTGTGCAATAGGAAGTGATCCCAAGGGATAGAGATGAGCAAATCCTGCCCTTTGTCTCCAGGACTCACCAGCTGCGTGTCCTCGTGTGTGATGACACCCCGGGCCTTACAGCGGGTGGTGTGGACCTTCTTGGAGACTGGGAAAACCTGCAGGAAATTAATTAAGCCTGTTACACAGCCAGGACATGCCAAAAAGCCCAAGGTAACAGGCTGAGCTCCACCCCAGCTTCACCTTCCTGCCCAGGAGCTGGTTGGAGAGCGTGGATTTCCCGGCGTTGGGAGCGCCGATGATGGCGATTCTCAGCACCTTGGGGTTCTGGGGCTGGTCGGGCCGATTCTCCAGGAGACGCTTCTGCTCCTCTGCCAGCGAAAGGAGGAGCTCGGATGCTGCCAAACCCCTCGGCGGGTCAGCATCGCCCCGGGGCAGGGCGGCAGCCGGCACCACTCACCTTTGTCGGTGGCCACGGGCGGCGGGTGCTGGCCCAGAGCGGCGGGCGCGGCCTCGGCGGGGATGCCCAGGATCCTGCCCAGCGCCGAGCTGCTCCCGCTCCAGCGCTTGGGAATACTCAGGATCCTGCCCAGCGCCGAGCCGCGCCCGCTCCAGCGGCTCCCCGGGATGCGAGCTGGAAGAAAACACCGAATATACCAAGAACGTACCTAAAACACACCAAGATCGCGTTGGCTCCTACCTCCACACGCACCGTCCGGGCAGCGCTCACTCCACCGCAAGGCCTCTCGGCCGGCCCCGGATTCCCGCCCGCTACCTCCCGGATCCGGTCACCCTCAGAGTACGCCCGCGGCCCCAGCGCACCTGCTCCCAGCCGGAGCGGCCCCGCCGCGGCGGCACCGACGGCCCAGAGCACGGCCCGGGCGGCGGCCGCGGCCATGGGAGCCGCCATGTTGGCCCGCCGCAGGGGCACGCCGGGAATGCGAGCGGCGCCCGGCTCCCATTGGCGAACAGCGCGGGGTCATAGAGAGCGCGGGGGCGGGGCCAGAGCGCCGCTGTGCCGCGCGGAATTGAGGGACGGAAACGGCCGAGGGGCGGGGAACGCGGGAGCGCCCCCTGCCGGCGGCACGGCGCGGTTCCCGGTCCCGGTGTCACCGGTGCCCTCCCAGCGCTCCCGGTGTCACCCCACGGCCCCGCCACGGTCTTCAGTGCTCCCGGTGTCACCAGTGTCACCAATGCCACCCCAGTGTCACCAGTGCCTCCAGTGTTCCCCATCACACAGCCCAGTCCTTCTACAACACACACACACACACACACGTTTGTCCCAGTGCTCCCCACGACCCTCTTCAGTCCATCCCCAGACGCCCAGTGCCCCCCACAACATATCCCCTGCATGTGATTACAGCCCTCTGTGCTCCACAGTGAGACCCAGCGCTCCCAGTTCCCTTCTATTCAGCCCTGTGCATCCCAGTGCTCCGCCTACCCTACATCCCAAAACTCCTCAAGTCTCCAGCCCTCCCCAGCACACCCCAGCACCTCCCAGTTCACCCCAATGCTCCCTGCAACACCCCACAGCGCACTCCCATGTCCCCTGCACCGCAAGACTCTGCCCCAAGGTACCCCTGTGCCACTCTATGCCTGAATGCACCCAAAATTCCCCACCACACCCAGAATTCCCCACTACACCCTGCACCCCAGTGCACCCTTGAGCCCCCGAGCCCACCCCAGTGCACCCCAGTTCCACCAGGCCTGGAACCCGCAGGGGATGTGCTGAGGAAGGAGAGACGGAGCCATGGCTTTCTAAATCTCTTTATTGTCCTGTGCCTGTCTCCAGGGCTCCATCACTGTGTCCGTGTCATCCCACTCTGTGCCTTTCCGTGCCATCCTGTTCCATTCCCATGCCATTCCTGTCCCATTCCCATGCCATTCCTGTCCCATTCCCATGCCATTCCCGCCCCATTCCGTCCCATCCCATGCCATTCCTGTCCCATTCCTGTGCCATTCCTGTCCCATTCCTGTGCCATTCCTGTCCCATTCCCGTGCCATCCCGTGCCATCCCGTGCCATTCCTGTCCCATTCCCGTGCCATCCCGTGCCATCCCTGTCCCATTCCCGTGCCATCCCGTGCCATCCCGTGCCATCCTGTGCCATTCCATGCCGTGCCGTGTGCCCGGCCGTCGGCAGAACCGTTACCATTACTAAACTCAGTAATGGTAACGGTTTCCCCGCCAACCGTGGGTCTCTGGCTGTGTCCAGGTCTTCCCACACCCCATCCCACCACCCTCCCATCCCCGGCCACACATCCTCGGTGCCCCAGGCCGTGGTCCCGGTCGGTGGTGGCGGGAGGAGGTCGGTGCAGCCTGGGGAGTACATCATCTATACTGTAGTGTCTCATAGCCAACTTACAGTATACGATGATATCCTGCCCGGGACAGCGTGGAGACGAGAGCAGAGCCTGCAGGGACAGCATGGTTAGGGAGCACAGCCCATTCTCACCGCGGTGTCACCCTCACCCATCCCCGTCCCCCTGTTCCTGCTGCTTCCTGAGCCTCCTGGAGGCCTCCCTGCCCCAGCATCTCCCTACCTGCTCTTTATCCCTCCCAGTTCCACCCCAGAGCAGGACTGAGGTTCTCAGTCGCTTCCCTACCTAGGCATCCCCCCTAATTCCTCCTTGTCACCCCATTCCCACCACCTTGGAGAAGAGCAGAGATTCCCAATCGTCCCCTCACCCCAACACCCCCCCACCCCACCTTTGCCCCCCAGTCCTGTTGCCTCAGAGTGGGATTGAAGGTCCCAATTGCCTCCCCACCACAGCATCCCCCTAACCCCTGCTTTTATCCCATATCCACCATCTCAGAGCAGGACAGAGGTTCACAAACCCCCGTCTTTGTCTCCCCCAGTTCCACCCTCCCTGAGCAGAGCAGCAGCTCCCCGGGGTGGTGGCACCTACCTATGGGGGTGGCACTGGGGCTTTGTGGGGTGCTGGGTCTGCACCCGCCTTATAAAACCTGCTCTGCCTCATCTGCATATCTCACATCTGCACTGCACAGCTGGACGGGGCCCTTAACCCCTTCATGCCCGGGGGGGCACCACCTCAAGCAGCTCCCCCCACCCAGCCTGGCATTGTCCATGGGGGGATGTGGGCATGTGGGGCTTGTAAGGGGCCACCCCCACTTCAATGTGGCCCCACAAATGCCCCATCCTCCTGTAGTCACCAAGATTATCCCTTCCCATACTTGTGGGGACCCTGAACTGGGAGCTCCCCACTGCAAACAGTTCCCAGTTGCTGGACAGTGGTGTTGGACAGGGTAGGGTGGCAGCCCGTGGGGATGGGGCCCAGGAGAGACATCTGGGAGTGGAGGGGGGGTCACCCTACACAGGCACCCCCAGGTGAGGTACGGGGTACACGTGAGTGCAGGGAGCCTGTGTCCCCCTGGGGTGGGTGACCTCTGTAGTGCTGTGCCCCTGGCCATATTTGCTCTCCTGAGGGACATGACCCCTAGCAGTGTGTCCCCAAAAAAGGATTTGTCCTCCTGCCTTTAGGGACACCATGGAAATACATTCCCCCTCCCAGGAGGATGTGACCCTTTGAGGGATGCATCCCCCAGTTAGGTGTCCCCAAAGGACATGCTCCCCTGGCCATGTGTGTCCCCTGGAGGGATGTAACCCCCAGCTGTGTCCCCCCAAGGGCATGCCCCTCCTGACCACATGTGTCCCCAAGAGGGCTGTGTCCCCTCACTGCACATGACCCTGGTCATACTTGTCCCCTAGCCACAAACGTCCCCAGAAGGCTCCACCCCCTGACCATGAGTGTCACCTGCCTGTGCATGACCCTGGTCATTTGTGTCCCCCCAGCCCTGTCTGTCCCCACAGGGCCACATCCTGCAGCCAGTGCTGTGCCATTGTGCCGGGTTGTTTGTGCCAGGACAGGCTGGCATTCCTGGAAGTCAGCTGGGGGGAGGTGATAATCCCCTGCGAGGCCAGGGCTGTGTGCACCGGGGTCCCGATAAGCAGCAGCCCCTGGCTATCAGGGATCCTGCCCTGCCACACAAGGTGTCCCTGGACCCACTGTCACCTCTGGGTGACAGGAACAGGGGCAGCATGGCCCACACTCCCCCTGGCCTGGGCAGACCCTGACAGGAGGGGTACAGGGTCAAGCCCTGGTCTGAGCCTGTGCCAGGGCATGAGGTTGTGGGGACCTGGGGGCTGCAAGAGACCTCCTGTTTTGATCCCCCTTGTGACCCAGAGGTGTCCTGGAGCCTGTAGTGTTCCCCAAACTGTGGCATCCCCAGCATGCAGAGCAGTGACATAGGCAAAGTGTCCCTCAGTCCCCCAAACCCTGCCAGCTCCTGGTGAGTCCCAGGGATTATCCCATGGGATTGTCTCCATGCTGGCCGGTGCCTGCCAGCCCTACCCCGGTACTCAAGGGCTGCCCTGCCCTGTGGCCTTGTACCCCACAGTGGCAGAGGGGCTTGAGTATCCCCCAGGCTGGTAGCACAGAGCTGGTGTGGGAACCCCTGGGTGCCAGAGGAGACCCCCGTGTGCCACAGCCCTCCCAGCAGCCGTGCTGCCCCAGGACAGCGTGTCTGGCTCCAGATAAGGAGGCACTGGGACCTGCAGAGCTGTCCCCACCCTGTCTATCTGCAGGGCCACCTTGCAGGACACAAAGGACAGGGCTGTTGTCCTGCCCTGGGTTTGGGGGAGCATGAAGAAACCATTTTCTCCAGAGAAGGTGGTGCAGCAAAGCCCCCCATGCCAGCCCCATGGTGGCTGTCACTGGTCCAGCTTGCAGGGTGACCCCAAGCAGGACAGGTCCACCCAGACCCACCCTGCTGTCCCCCAGCACAGGGAAGGGCGTGTGGGGCTGCGACAGGGCTCCAGTGGCAGGGCCATGGGACATGAGGTGCTGCCACCAGCCTGGCTGCTGTGACACAGCGCCTTCAGCGCCTGCCAGTCCTTCTCCAAACCCCGGGGTGCCACTCTTTGGGGTGCCCCAGCAATGGTCACCCCCTGGGCTAACACGGGCCATGCAGTGGAGTTCATTCAGTGCCACCTGGCTTGACACACATCCCTGTGGGAGCAGGACAAGGTTCTACCCCCACGGAGGGCTGTGACACAGAGCCCACGGGGACACGGTGACCGTGGGGAAGCCACCAGCTCCCAGGAGCTTTGCAGGAGCAGTGTGAGCCGGAACGTCGCCTCCCCTTACCCCTCGTTCCCCCCGCCCAGTGGGAACACTCCGGGGCCAGCAGCTCCCGGCCAGCTCAAGCCACCCAGGCGTGCTGGGGTGGGACAGACGGACGCGAGGCACGACACAGAGCCCAGGCAGGAGGTGACAAGGGTTTATTATCTCACAGCAGCGGGGTGGCGGACGCAGGCACAAGCTGATAGGGCCCGGCCCGGCCCGGCACGCCTGCCCGGCCAGCGCCAGATCCGCGCCCGCCGCCCCCGGGGCAGCGCAGCCGGGGGCCGATAACACCGCTCCCCCCGCCCCGGCGGCAGGGAGGGCACGGGGGGACCCTGCAACACCCAGCACCCGCCATGGGTCACTCCTGGCAAAGGACTCCGTCTGGAGGGACCCGTACTCGCCCTACGGCACGGGCTGGGGGCACCGAGCTGCGGCTGCAGGACCCCCAAACGCCACCACTCCCAGCAGTGCCAAGCTGACTTCACACACGGGTCTGGCTGTGCCAGCCACACTGAACACAGGCACTGAGACAGGCAGGGAAGGGACACGGGCCAGCACAGGGTTCTGGTGGCATTGTGGGGAGGACGGGCACACACGGGACACAGTCTCTTTCACAAGGCAGCAATGCCACTGGCCGTAAGAGGCAGGGGGAGGGAAGGAGGCAGGGGCAGCTGTACAGGCTGTGCTGGAGGAGCCTGTCCCTACCTCTGACCACCACTCTGTTTGAGCAGTTGTGGGGTCGGGAAGTGCCACAGCACCTGGAGACAACCACAGTGGCTTCACTGCCCTCTCAGGGGATGGCTTTGGCACAGCGCTACTTTTTGGTATTCGTGATGGTGAGATCTCACCAGGGCTGAGCTGGGCACCCTCTGTCCCCTGGAGCTCTCCCTGCTTCAGATCCTATGAAGAAAATTCCCCAAGCATGGGAGAGGGCAGCACCCACTGCTAGTGCTGGATAGTCACCTTCCTGGAGGGTTGACTGTCACCCACCCAGCTTGGGCAGGGCTGCTGGCACTGGGGGTGACACACAGGGACACGGAGAACCAGCCACAGGGAGCTGTGGGCAGAGCTGGGACAGGGCCCAGGAGGGTCACTGAGAGAGGGCGTGGAGCCCAGGGGAGGGGGATCCTGGTTCTCTTCCTAAAACTCCCCACCCCAAGCCTCTGCTCCAAGTCCCAGGTGTTCACCCCAGGGCAGAGAACAGCAAGGCACCAGGACTGCAACATCAGACAAGCTGCCAGTCATAACTGGGGATGGGATCGGCCTGAGATAACACGAAGTTAATTAGAAAATAAATCCTCTCTCAGCCTTGGAATAAAAAGATCAGCAGACAGGACATGCATCTTTCTGGCCCTACAAAATAAGGCACCAGTTACAAACGAAACTCGGATTGTCTTTGATATAAAAGGAATTCCCATGTGTCAAAGACAGTTGATGTTTGAGTGCATAACAAGGAGTGATCTTCACTAGCTTTGGGTTGGTCAGCCTCATTTCATGGCCTCGGTGGCTCTCTGGAACAGAGGAAGCTGCAGGAGGGGAAGAGAGAAGCTGTTAGGTCTGTAGGAGGGGGAGGCAGGGCGCTGCCTGCACTCTGTGGCTGTCAGGGCTGAGGAAGGAGAGGCTTCCTGGGAAACTAAAAGCTTCCAGGCAGGTCCCTGTGCCCTAAGAGCAGCTGGCATTGCCAGCTGCCAGTGCCCAGCTCACCTTTGTGAGATCCACACCAGTGATGGCACGCACAGAGGCGGGGACCTCAGCCAGGAGACGGTTCACATCAGACATGGTGCTGCCTTTCTCTCCACTGAGAATAACAATCTCATCCACTTTGGAGAGGGGAGCAGATACTTTGGCAGCGATCTGAGGGAGTAGGGTGAACAGAGAGTCAAGGAACTGCTCAGCAGTTCACTGGGAAAGGTCCTGCAGGGCCTTAATGTGCCCTGAAGAGACCTGGCCCAGTCTGGGAACTCCCCCAGCCCACCTGGAGCATGGGAAAGCTGTCCCCTCCTCACCTCAGGCAGTGCATCCAGCACTAGAGCTAGCTGGGCAGCTTCTCCATACTTCTGGAGCGCCTCTGCTTTCAGCTTCAACCCCTCAGCCTCCGCCATCCCAACAGCCTCGATCACAAAAGCCTCGGCCTCTCCAATCTTGCGGATCTTTTCTGCCTCCGCCTGAGCAAGGAGGATTTGCTTCAGCCTGGAAAAGGTAAAGCAGCCCTGCAGCAGCCTGGATCCCTGCAGAGAGCCCAGAAGCTGGGGCTCAGGGCAGCACTGTGCTCCCAGCTGCCCAGCCCAGGGCAGGGGCTCACTCACTTCTCTCCCTCAGCGATCTGCTGGATGCGATAGGCTTCGGCCTCAGCCGGCTGCTTCACGGTGGCCACCAGCTCCTTCTCCATCCGCACCACCTCCTTCTCCTCCACCTCAATCTGCTTCTTGCGCTCCACCACCTCGATTTCGATCTCCTCCTGACGGATCTTCTGCTGCTCCCGGGCACTCTGGAGCTCGTAGGCCAGCTGGGCCTCTGCAGTCTGCACATGGGGGAGAGGAGAAAAAGGGGTCTGGGCCTCAAAACCAGACATGACTCCTGCTATTGAACCTTTTCCCAGTGGTGACATCCCAATCCTCAGTGCTGCTCTTCCCACAGCACTTAAGCCCAACCAGCTCCAGGTTCAACCCTCCCCATCCTTTCCTCTTCTCCAAGTCCCACCAAACTACTGCAACAGGAGAGGAATCTGTTGTGAGAAGCTCACAGTGACACACAGACCTGAGAACCTGGGTTCTCCATCTCCAGCTCTCCTAATAGATGCAGGAGGAGGAAGATGACAAGTCCCAGAGCTACCAACACCATCACAGAGCCTCCAGGGAACAGCAGTGGGCTGTGAGATACTCTCACCTTAATGTTGACCTCCTCAGTGAAGGCAGCTTTCTGCAACTCAAAAGCTCGTTTGGAATCTGCTATTTTGGTATCTGCCATGAACTTGACATCCAGCATTTCTTTCTTGCACTCTGCCTCCTGCGGAGAGGGAACAGAGAGCAGAGCTTCAGGGTGTGTAGCTGGAGCAGAAGAGGCTGCTCCAGGGAAGCCCAGCATGTCTCCGGACTCACCCGAATACCAGCATCCCGCTCGGCTTCTGCCACTCCAATGTCTGCATCCCTTTGGACAGCTGCAATCTGAGTCTTCCCCAGAGAGCTCAGGTAATCCACTTTATCATAGACATCCTGGGGAGAGGAGATAGGTCATAGCCACTTCAAATGAGCTCCATCTTGATCCCTTTCCCATTGAAGCTCAGTGCGGTCAGGTGAGGGTCAGAACGCATCATGTCAGCTGCTCCTCCAAACAAACAGGGAGGGCAGGGAGAAGAAAGCCATCCCGACATCTTTCCTCACTCCCAGGAGACTGGGTTATCAGCCAGCTCTCTCCACAAGCCTGTTTACAGAGGCAGCTACCCGGCAGCTCTTGGCCCAGCTGCCTGGATACAGGACATGCTGCGGCGGCTGTCATGGAAACTCCTGAAGGGCTGGGACAGGCTGTCAGCCTGAGTCTTCCAACTGCAGCAGGGGTCAGGGCCAGACTCTCTCCTGCTGCTCCTATGGCTCTGCCTGGAGTGCAGTGCCTAACATTTGGGCATACCTTGATGGTGAAACTCAGGATCTCGATCCCCATGCGACCCACATCAGGAGCTGCCACCTCCCGCACCAGCTTGGCAAACTGGTCCCTGTCCTGGTAGATCTGCTCCACTGTCAGGGTACCTGCAGAGGGGAGGAAGGTGAAGACTTTATTTTTAACAGGTAACATATAAAATGTGGGTCTAAGCTCAGCAACATCCTTGTTGTCCCTAATCTCTTCAAGCCTGGGCACAAGGGCACAATCCTGTGCCACAGCAGTGGCAACATCTCAGCCACCACCCACATGTGCTACTTGTGGCCCTTGAGGGGCCCTTGGGGACTCAGACATCTCTCACTGCAGGCACCAAAATCTCATTTATCACAAGGCCCAGCCACACAGAGGGAGCTGCTGGAGGGGAGATGCCACCTCTGCAGGTGGCAGAGGAAGGTCCCATGTGGCTGCATGGTGGCAGCGATACTGCTGGGACCAGCCAGCTGAGAAGGGACAAAGCCACTCAAGACGTCTCCAGGGGATGAGCCCCTCATACCCAGGATGGAGCGCAGGTGTCCCTCCAGCGTCTGCAGGACCACGTTCTTCACATCCTGCACGTTCTTCCCCAAGAACTGCTCACAGGCCACAGCCAGGAGCTCCTTCTCAGTCATTATCTTCACCTAGAGACAGGAGACAGAACCAAACAGACTGAAGGTGTCTGTCCAGGAGGTGCAGGTACCCAAAAGCAGCAGCAGCAGCAGCAGAAGCAGCAGTACCACCACCAGGCTGCCCTGCTACTTATGCTCCAAGGGACCATGCTGAGCTGTCAGCATGCTGAGCCAGGCCACTGGACCAGCCAGAGAGCCCCTGTCCCAACCCTGACACTAGCTCAGCGTGGAGGTGCTCAGCAGTAGAGACAGAGCCTGGCCCTACCAGTCCCAACCCAGTCCCAACAGAAACCCTACAAAAACCCCTGAAATAGCAGTTCAGCCACTGCACCAATACCAGAGTCAGAAGAAAGCTGGGTATTACCACCCCTGGCCAAAACCTGTTTTGTTACCTTCCTCTTTCTCCTCTTTCACTAGAATTAATTTTTCTGACCCTGAAAAGGCAGAGAGTGAGAAAGAGTGACATGCCCAAGGAGCAGCTTGGGAACAGGGGTTCCATTCAGTGTCCCCTGGAAAGAGAGATGAGACAATAAAGGCCACTGGTTTGTCATGCCTGTAGCTGGGAGCTCCCAGACATCCTTTGCAATGACCCCAGGATGTCCTGGTCAGGGTCTGGCTGTTCTGCTCCACACACTCAGTCTGGTGACGATGCCCAGAGCTGGGACACAGCCACCCCAGAAATGTTATCAGCTCCTTTACACCAGATCCAGGTGTAAAAGTGTCCCCATTCCAGCCAAGCCAGGGTCTTAGGATGGTCCTGCTGGTCACAGGGCTGTTTTTGAAAGGCAAAGTGAATTACAAATCCCTGTGGTGTGTGTTAGGCAGTGGAGATCTGTGCTCTACAGCACACAGCTATGAGGAGCTGCAACCCACCGAGATGACAGCTCCTGGTGGCCCTGTCCAGTCTGAGGGCTCAGGCAAAGGCTGGGCACAGGGACATTCTGTGCCTGGCAGCACCAGAGAAGGAGCAGGTCCATAGGTCCACACAGCTTCCTGGATCCTACAGCACCCTCTCATGGACACAGCTGGGCTGGGCAGGGCCTCCTGTCCCACAAGGAGCTGGGTGGCACCCTGAGTCCTGCTCCAAGGGCCTTGGATGGACCTGCTTCAGAGATTTCCAAAGTACAGATGCCGTACAGGGGCCCTCTGAGGGTGTACACTATTGAAGGATTCACAACCTACAGACCTCATCCTGATACCTTCTAGCACTTTCAGCTGCAAAGTTCTGCAAAGAGAAGTTTTCACTTCTCTTTCTTGAGAGTCTTGTCTGATAGCCCACGGAGGCAAATGATCCCTCTGGAGCTGAACAGCAGCACCTGGCCCAGGCACTGCCAGAGAGCAGGACTGGGACTGACTGTCATCTTCTAAGGGGACAGGAGGTGGACCATGCTAGACAGAGTGAGCTGGCCAAAACTTACCTGCCACAACCCTGCCCCTCATAATGTGAAGAAACACCAACCCAGGCTGAGCCTGTTTCCTACTGCTGCTTCCCAGACTGGGTCTCCCAGTCAAAATGTCAAAAAACCTCAGGCAAGCATGGCAGCCCTCTTCCACATTGTTCCCAAAGCCCCTTGGGATCCTTTCGGGGCCAATTCCACAGTGGTTTCTTGTCCCTACACCCCAGGCCAGCAGTGTGCTCTTCCCACACAAGGGGGAGTTGGGAGAGCTACTCTGGAGCTGCACTCAGAGCATGAGCCCTGCATGAGGCTCCTCTCACAGCAAATAGGAGATTTTTGCAAGTATCAAAAGCAATTAGACTCAGCAGCGACATTTATGGTGAGCATCTGCCAGCAATTCCACCTCGCCAAACAATCCCCACCCTCAGGAGCAGCGGGGAAGACAGAGCACAGGGCAGGATGTTCATTAGGAGAACCCCTGCAGTACTTAGGAGCAAGGAATGATCCAGCCTCTGGATAAAGCCAGCCAGCCTCCACTGGTGAGCCCTGGCCAGCCCACGGGAGTCTGGCTCTGCATGGAATACAGATCCCAACCTCCAAAGCAAAGGCTGCACAGAAGAAACCAGGGATGAGCAATTTGTGCTCAGCGTGTTTTGCAGGGTTTCAGGCAGGGCACTGTGACACTCAAATGTCACTCCCATCAGAGGGAGACCCTTGGCTGGCAGGGAATCAGAAAGCCTCCATCCAGCAATCCTGTGAGCAGGATCGATGCTGCTGCACCCTGCTCCAGCCAGCTGCACTCGCAATGAGGGATGAGCACAGAGAATCCAATTAGCTGGAGGCTCAGGAAAATGCTACAGAAGGATACAGAGCCCAGCATGGCCTAAGGCAGCAGCATCCCAGCACATCCCAGCACCCAGCCAACATGGGAAGGAGGCTACTGGTGAGCACTCATTACATCCCCCCTCAAGAAAAGAACAGCATCTTTATGCACATGAAGCACTTCTATCATTGCAGCAAAAAAAGATGTTTCTCTAGGAATAATTTTTTAAGGTTTTTTCCCATTTTTTTTTGCTCAAGCCCTTAACACAAAAAAATTGCCTCAAAAAGTACTTCTGCAGAATTAAGGTAACCTCTGCCATGCACATCCCCAACAGCCTTGAGGCAGCTTTCTGCGTGGCAATTCCTTGGATTCCAGCTTTAAAATTAGCTGTCAGTGGAAAAACTGAACAGTGAGAAAAGAGAATAACATGAATGAGATGAACTGGGCTCTGCATTTTTAAATCAAGGCACCTGGTGATCCAGCCCTCTGCTACCAGACCATTTTGCAGGATTTCCCAAAACTAGAACAAAAGGGAATTCTGGCTTCAGAGAAATATTAAATACAGAAGGAAAAGCCTACAGATTTAGGAAAAGACTGTGAAGGGAAACATGGATGCACACATTTTTGCCAACCATGCAAAAACCACTGGGATCATGGGACACCTTAGCAGCTAAATGGATATAAAGAACTGTAAACTAAGTGAAAGATGAATACAAAGTACTGAAAAATAGAAACCAAGGGTGCTGGGTCCATGAGGGATTTTGGTCACATCACTGCATGAGTCAGCAGCTCCCCTTGGCTCCAGAGCTCCCCATAGGGAATGTGGCAGCCACTTGTCCTGTGATAACACACCTGGACATACCTCAGACACACAGTGACAACAGCCCTGTGTGCACTGAGAGCCACTCTTGGTTTGTACACCAAATTTTAGAGCGAGCTGTCAGAAGCAATTTTCAATCACAGCATCCAGCTGCCAAGGACTCTAAATTCCCTCAAAACTAACATTTTTTCTCCCAGCATCTGCCCCAGGGCAGGACCTGGCCCCAAGGACAGACTGTACCAGGACAGCAGACCTCAGACTCCAAGAAGTGCAGGGTTTTGGTGTGCTGCCACAAGCAGCAAAAGTGGGTCTTACATTTGAAGAAAGCTGTAGAGAATCAAAATTCAATTTCAGCCAAAAATTTTACACGCCAGTTTTAGTGCCTGGAGGGACTAAATTCTTTTTTTTTTAAGCTTTAACTCACCATGAAGAATTACAAGGCCCATGTACTAACAATAACAATCCAAAGGTATATAATGCTTGATACCATCTCAGGAGGTCATGGGTCAGTCCTGTGGGGTCTCACACAGCTCCAAGGGCACCACAGCACATCAACATTCCACAAACACATCAAGTCACCCCCACACCCCTCATTTGCCACACGGACAAATGAGACACCAGAAAAAAAAATATTTTGGGGAGAGAAGGAGAAGTCACAACCCCCTTCACCACATGGAACATGCTGGAGCGTGATTGTACCAACAAGGACAATGTGGTTTGGTACAAAGATTTATTCCAGAGCAGCTGGCTTCTCTCCCTGGACAACAGCAACCTCTTAAGAGGGGAAAACCAGATGTAAGTTAGAGACATGCATTCCTGAAATGATGTTTTGGTTACTGTACCTGTGCCACACCTGTGACAGTTATAGCTACCCCCTCCGCCGTCTCTACGTCCTCACACCTGGGCTGTAACGTCATTATCTCTAGGGAAATCCTGCCAAAAAATGTAAAATGTTTGCACGTTTCCAGGTTACACACACCCAACTATTCCCTTTGCATCTCCTGCCTTGGGCTACCTGCTGCACTCATCACAGGTAATGTAAGGCAGGCACAGAATGCAGCCAAGGGACCACATCTGTGAGTGCAGACAGACAGGACATTGTGGTCAAGAAATAGATTTTCAGATAATGCTCAAAGGTAATTTATCAGCAATGGCTGGAATCCAGACTGGAAATTATCCTGTGGTCCTTTCCCTCCTGCTGGGTTAGTGAGGAACCAGAAGCTGCAGCACTGGGAGCCCCAAGGGCCCTCTGTCAGAGGCTCATTGTGCCACGCTGCCCAATGCCATGGCAGCATGGGGTGTCACTGGTTTAAAAGCACAGCACAGAACTGGGATGCTCCCACCCACCTCACATGAGAGCTGGTGCTTGGCAGAACCTGACACTGATGCTGAAGAAACCCTGGGTTAGCCCTACCACAGACCTATCCCCTGACCTGGTTCACCTCTCTGTCACCCTGAGAATCAGGCCTTTTGATATTGTATTCACAATTTCTAGCCACCTTCCCAAGAAAGTAACTATAAACATGGGTGTTTATACATTCCATTAAAGATAGGCCTTTTGATGGATGTCTCTCACAGCCAGTGTGGTTGGGAAGGTGGTAACCTGACTATCCAATCCCTGGTCATTGCTGAGAACCTATAAATACTGAAAGAACAAATAAACTTCCTTCTTCTTTCATCACACTTTGAGCTGCGTCCGTGTGAATCATTTTGTGTCCAACAGTGACACCTCTCCCTCTATTTTTCTATTTTATTTGTCCCATGACCCTAAGATGGAAATGAGTCTCCAGTTCTTTATGGCCATGCCTGTGGAATATCAGGCACCCAGGAACAGATCCTGCAGCTCCAGAGCTTTCTCAGTCATCCCAGGTGGGCTTGAGCTACTTTGGTCAGTCCCAGCAATCTGCAGGTCACAATTTGGTAAAACAAAGGACATCTCTGGCTGTGGTAGGTTCTGTTCAAGGAAGCCAAGCCTGGCTCCCGTGTCAGCCATAACGAGCCGGAAAGACGCTGAGAGTCAAGACAGGGAGCCACGGGGCAGAGAGTTTGTGTCAGTGAACATCAGGTCAAACATCTGAACCATGAAGGGGCTGTCCTGGGCTGCTGTATGCATGCTGAGTTGCTCCAGGATTGATTGGAAGTGCTGAAACCTATCCCTGCAAGTTCATGCCTGTCTTGGCCACTGTCCTAATTAAACTGGCACGCAAACTGGGAGCTGATAAAACACATCCCACTGTCCAGGACATGCACAGGCATCTTATGCCATGTGTTCACAGTTTTAATCAGATGCTGCAGGATTTCAGCCTTCTGATGGCCTAATCTAGACTTGGAATTTAATTTCCAAACTGTTCTGATTCTTCGTTCTGTTCACAGGGATATTTAGTCATTACTGGCTCATAACACCAGTCCTGTGCACTGCAACTCATCTGAGGTCTCTGCTGTATTTTCAAAGGTGACAACATCCAAAACGGGCAGTGTCTTCATGTGGAGGAAGAAGGGCTGAGTGGGAATCCATAACCAACACTGCAGAGCAAGGCATAATTAAAATTTTGAAATGGCACAAAACCTGCCTTCCCACCTGTCCCAAACCCTGTACAGAATCCAACCTGGCCTGCTTGTGCCTCCACACAAAGGCAGAAACCCTTCTGCTCTCCACCAAGCGCACAGTGGAGGCAGTGCTGGCAAGGAAAGGGTTAATGCAGGAGCAAATGTTAGGTACCACAATGCTGAATTTGGAATTTGCCAGGAATGTACCTGTCTTCATTACCTATTAACTGTGGAGTGCCACAGGGCAAGTGCTGGAGAAGGGGAAGGAGAGGAGAGTATGGAGATTTCAGCTGCCGTTAGAAAACCATTAGTTTTTATGTTATCCTGCTGCTGCTGCTGCTCAAAACAGAGGGATAAACAGTTAGACAGTTTGTTAGGAAGCTGGTGGATTATTACCTGTGCAACCCCTGTTACGTACAGTGGGACCCCCTCCGACGTCTCAACATTCTCACAGCGACAGAGGATGGTCAAAACCTCCAAAGACACTCTGAGAAGGGAGGAGTAAGGGTAGGACAGCAAATACACAGAGCAGTTATCAGAGAGTAAAACACTTGTTGCAAAGGACAAGATGAGACTTTCAGGTTTCAGCTTTTCCCTGGTCAGTTTGCCTTTCATCCACTGCCCGCTCCCAGGGCTCCATAATCAGCTTCCCTTGTCATGGGAGGGAGTTTACAGCATGCAGCAGTTTCTTTTAATGAGGATAAACAAGCTGGGGGCTCGTCCCCACCCTGCACATGAAACTGTGTCATCCTGGTATCAGCTGGAGTTCTCTGTTGAAGTAATCTTTGCACACAGAAAAATTCCTTTTGGTAGTGATTTAGATGCTTCTGTGTCAGTATTTAAGAGAGGAAAGATAAATGAAAACACCAGGGACCTGGCTACCCACCCCTGGCTAAGGCACTGAGGAGGGAAGCTGCTTCCAAGTGCTGTCCTTCAGGGAAGCTGAAATAACACCATTTGGCTTTCCCAGAGGCATGCTAGACCACACTGTCTCTCTCCATGCTTTTATTTCTGACCCCTAAACAGGGATAGCATTTTTTCCCCTTGTTTTTCCCCAGTGTTCAAGGTTTCAGCAGGGTAAGTGCCCAGCACCCTGCCAGTTCTAACTGTTCCTTTTGTTCCCAGGTTAATGCTACCTGGCGGGATGCTGCTGACAGCAACACAATTGCTCCTGTCTCTCTTGCTCTCTTCTGGAACTGCTCTGGCAGTTACAGAAAAAATGTCCTAATTTCAGAGAAGGAAATCTGTCTCACTCCTCATGTTAATGCAGCGGGCTCCATCTGGGGCACAGCCTATGGCATTTGAGAAAGGAGAATTAAGCCCCATGGCATGAACTGGTATGGATTTTAAAGTAGAAGATTAGTTTGGATGCTGGAATTCCTGTCAAGAGCCCCATTTGCTAAATAATTCCCAGATCTCTATCATATAACAGCTCGTTCCTGGCAATCCAGTTCTTGGCCCTGGATTCAGCCTATCCGTAACTTAATAAATCAGCCTCCCAAATGTATCTGATCTTCTGCCCTGGGTAGGTCAAGGTCCTGCACTGTTCTTTGCACTTCTCATAGAAGAAGAGGAGAAGCATGAACCATTTGTTCAATTAACAGTTCTTCTAACAAGATGTCTCACAAAAATTTGGGAATGAAGCTTGTCTGGATCGAACGCAGCCCTTAAACACTGAGCCTGCAAGCTGGGCTTTTCCTTCCTCTCCCACCTCCCATCATGTGCAGAGTGAGGGCAGCCACATGCTCACTTTGCTGGTGGCGACACGAGTATGGGGAAAAGAGGTTGGAAGAGGCTGTAAGGGTTAACTACAACCTCTGGCCATCATTCAGTGTAAAACTCAAAAGTCACATCTTTATCCTTTTCCCTGTTATTTTTTTTACACAGAGGAAACCTGGATCAGTGAGGATGAGGGATGTAGTGGGAGGGAACATTCCTACAGATCCTAGAGACAAAGAGCTGTATTAGCAGGACAGCAGCACTACCACAGCACGTCAGCTCAGAGACCCGACAAGCAGCAGCAAGCAAAATCCATGACTGAGGAAAGGGAGAGAAAGGAAATCCCGTGGTTTTAAATCAGAACAGTCTGCTCCCAAGGTGACAGCAGTCAGCAGATCTTTACAAAGAGACTTGAGGAGCAGAGGGGGGCACTGGTGCACTGCAGGCCACAAACTGGTTTGTTACTGGGTGAGGGGTTGGGCCATACTGGGCAGAGCTTGGCTCCTCTTGTGGACATAAAGGCTGTTTGAAAAGCACTCCAGCTGAAAGCATGTGATTTCTTTTTTTGTGTGTGTCTTTTGCACTGTGGCACCCAGCTGTCCCCATGCCAACAGCCAGCAAAGAGCTCCTGATGCTCATCCCTGGTTTCATACACAGTGCCTGATCCAGTGTTCCTAAAGATACTGCTGACAGCCCCACTGGGATGATTTTGCCACATTCCTACTCCAAAAGCCCACAAATATCAGGGGTCTCCTTACCTCTGGGTGTCAGTAATGCACCACCAAGCCCAGGCCCAGCCTCCATACACATATTGCTTCTCATCAGAGCCACAGCAGCCACCTGCAGCACAGCAGAGAGCAGAGACATCAGGATTACACACATGCACATGCTTTTGGGAATAACTTACAAGCAGAGGAGTTCACAGTCTTCCTCCTCTCCATTCACAGCGATTCACATGGCAGTTCTCCCAAGGCAACCTTTTTTGGAATTGCCTTATAAAGTTGGAAAGTAGTATTTGTATAATTCACTATGACCAACAGTAACACATAGAAAGGGACTGTATCTCAAACCAGGGCTTTATTTTAGTTTTGTTATGCCCTTTTGGCAACCAGAATCAATCTAAGTATCTTCAACTGTGATGTTAACTGTTATGGAAAGCCACCTCCCTTCCTTCACACCACCCTTAACTTCCCACAGGAGTTCTCAAGTCAGTATTGGAAGCGGGAAGAACCCCATAGCTCCCAAAAAATACTTCCTAGTTCTGATTTGTGCAAGTAGCACCATGTCTGATGCTTTGCTGGTCCATTTCAGAGTTGGATGTGCCCAAGATTCAGAAACCCTCAAGAACTCTACTAACACATTTAAGATTTGATCCCGGTGAAGCTAGAAGATGCTGTCTGGATTTTCGTATCTTTGATTTAAGGAACAAGACACCTGCTGCCTTTCAAGAGAGCACCCTGCCAGTTATCAGCCTCAGGATTCATGGCTGGGAAGGGAGAAACCCAGCAGCTCTCTGGCTCAGACCTGGGAGCTGCTGACTCTCAGGCAGATCGAGGCCAGAATTCCCTCTCTCAGCTGCTCTGCATAATCACTCTTACTACAGCAGTGCCCGAGGGCCTCAGCGAAGAGAGTGCTGTACAAACAGAGCAACAGACAGTTGCAGCCCTGCGGGATAGATCTATGCAGGCAAGACAGAGCCGGCACAGAGGAAGAGCAGGAATGCAGAAAACAGAGTGGCTCTGTGGGACCTTTAGGTTGTGGGAGGGGAAAGGGAGAAGGGTGAAGCCAACAGCACTTTCAAGAGAAACGACCAGTATTGTTTGCTACTATAAGTCAAAATGAAGAAGCAGAAGCAACACACATTCAGGCCAGTGTGCCTGCAGGGCCCTCCAACCACAGGAGGGGACTCTGTCCTCCTTGCTCTCCTCCTCCTTGCTCCTCCTCTTCCTCCAATCCCCCAGCATTTAGCCATCTTCTGCCTACTTCCAAACACTGTCTGCTTCCAGACACTGGCCACACACTGCCTGCTTTGATGGCTTCCATGCAGTGGTTGACAAACCAGCAGAACTGCCCCATCTGCAATTCTTCACCCTTGCATTTCAGTAAGAATTAAACACAAACAGGAAAAGGCTTTACACACTTTTTCAGATCTGTGCTGCACAGCCTGGAGGAATATTCTCCTGTCACCTCTGAGCCAGCCTTTGGATAGCTTTTTCCCATAGCTGAAAGACTATTTCAGCCAGGCAAGCGTTACAGAGGCTGATGATACAACATCCTGCAGTAACCACAATGCCTTTAACATTTCTTGGAGGGCGTCAGCACAGTTAGCTCAGCCTTTCAGCCAGACCCTTGTTTTCCAAGAACAGGAAGGGAGGTGTTCCTGGCACTCAGGAAAAGCAGCACCACATGGAAAGGTATTTTATTTCCCAGGGTCTATGCGGTCTTTACTGAACCTCTGTTAATTTTTTTTTTTAAATAATATCATGAGAAAGCTCTGCACCCTAAACCCACCATTGTTACAGGAAAGTGTCTCTCCACACAGATGTTCCTCTTCTTCTATAGGAAATACCGTATTTAGAATCACACACAAAACGAGCTCCCCATTTGCTTCCTGGTGCTACACAATACAGCTGCAGAGCACATTCTACTGAGCTAGATTATATGTCAAAAACGGTTCAAAGCCTAAAAAAACCAGAGAAAACTAACACATTAAGGAGGAGTGGGATGCCAGCCAGTTGCTTTCATGCATGCTGGACATCTGAGTGCAGCAGAGCTCTGTCCTGGTAAAGGCTGAGGAGCTGAGGGCTCATTTTCCATGGCAGTTCTGCCGCCTCTTTCTCAATTCTCAGGCAGCAAGTGAAAAAGGAACCAACAAAGCAAAATCTTTGCAAGGCTAAAGAATAAACCCTCCTGCACAATGAGAAATTGGCAGAGAAATTGCCTTTTCCAGCTATAATACGCCCACTGTTCCAGCAGACTGGGTTTCACAGTCGCTTCCACAAACATCCACTGTGCCTCTTCCGGGGCAGTGTGCAGGGCCACAAATGGAGGATTCATAGCCAGGAAGCTGCCAGCCAGCTTGGCCTCTTCCCAATGAAGGGGTTCCATGCTCGAGCAAGAATTCCCAGAGCCAGGAGAAAGTATGTTGTCTGTTTGTTTGGGTTTTTTTATTATGAAATAAGATTAATCGCTTGGGAGTTGGTAGATAAAAGGAGCTCTTAGCAGATGCAGGAAGTGAGCAAGGAAGAACGTGGGCCTCAACAGTTTTGGGGACACAGAGCTCAAAACATCAAAGCTGGGATGATCTGAAGAAGCTCTGTGTTGTTTGCTCTCCCAGGTAACTCGGGCACTGAGTTACCTTTTCGGCAGGAAGTGGTGAGCATTCTGAAATCAGGTCATGGTAAACAGGCTGCTGAGTGCAGGTGGACCAGGAAAAAGCTGATAACTGAAAACAGTTACTGACAAAAGATAATGCGGAGATAGAGGAAGGCAAAAGCATCCATAAAGAAAATCATGTTCTAAAGCAGGGCCCAGACTAAAGTCAGTGTCTGGTTCTTAGGCCTCGCTGTGCACATAAATTAGGCTTTGTTCACATGCAGAAATGGTACAAGGTTAACAAAAATTAATTTAAAAAGATGCAGGGTTCTGACTTGAATCCATAAAAGCCTCTGATAGTCACTGCAGCAGATGAAAGCAGATTACACTGGCTATCTTGTTCTGGATATATTCTATATGAACATGACTTAATGAGTAACAATGCCATAGAGTGAGTTTAAAAACACATTTAATAACTCATCTCATAAACAGCAACTCAGAGAAGACAAACTTTATTAATAAGAGAAGCTACGCAACAACATCACTGAGATACTACCTCAAAATTCCTTCTGGAAACCAAAAGGAAAGATCTGAGGTTATTGTCCACCTCTTCCTAATAGGCTTTCCTAAGTTTGCAAGTCCTGGAGATTTAACAAGTACATGACAAGGGAAACCTTGAGCCCCACCACGTCCAAAAAGGTGAAGAAGCACCTCCTGAGAAGGAAAGATCCCAGATGAGGTGCTTAAGGGCCCTTTTGAGCACTCATGACTTGAGACCAGCTGCAATGCTGCATGCAGCAGCCCCTGAGCATCACAAGCAGTGAGAAACCAACCCTGGGGAAAAAGTTTTGGCTTGCCAAAATGACAAACCTAAATCTGCAGAAGCACTCAGTTAAACCAGGCAGATGACCATCAATGCCACTGCAAGTTTCCTGCATGGCTTGCCTGGTGCAAGAGGTGGGACACCCCAAGCACAACCCTGGAAACTGAATGAACTGTATGAACACAGGGCAAAACCTCATGAGACCCAGCTGAAGCTGCCTGCTCCTTCCCATAAACTCCTATTTCTTTTGAGGCTGAAGAACTGGAATTACACCATCAGTGTGAGGGTTCAGGTGGCTCTTGCTGCCTACCACGTCTTTCTACCGTACATGGCCTGGACCTTCTTCTTCTATTTTCAAGCAATAGACTCTTCTCACCTAAATGTAACTTCTACATTTCTCCTCCCTGAACTGCACTAGATTATGTTCAGCCCATTGGGTCAATCTCCAGAGTTTGTTTTGATCCTGGTCCAGCTCTTCAAAGCTCTCGAACCCATTCCCAGCTCAGTCTGCAAATTCAATAAGCACATTCTCGATTCCATTATCCAAGCCAAAACAAGGAACTTACTTGATAAATTCTTTCAGCTGAACAGTGAGTTACTGTCAAGTTCCCTGGCAGTGGTCTTCCAGGCAGTTTCATATCAATTTCATAATATCTGAGAAACCAGTTCCTCCTTGCACTGTGGACTGTAGGTCTCTTGCAGGAAGGCCTTCAAGAGCCTCAAGAAATCCTTATTTCAGGCTTTCAACTTAGAAAATAGCACATGAGCAGTTCTTGAAGGGGTAAGAGTGATGCAGTAACACTATAGAAGAGCTTAGAGCAGCCCTGGAAGGGTTACTTACTGACTGCTGGCATGCAGCAACAAATTCCTACACAAAACTAGAATTGATTGCTACCTCTTCTTTTACTTTGACAGACATCAAGGAGCCCCAAAGGGTGTTGCACCAAAGTAAAATTTGAGAAATTGGGCTGGACTGTATTTCTCAAGCTGATTTCTGCTCACCTAGGGAGCAATCAGATTAGCTCAATATGGCAAATACCTCTACTTGTCTTCTTCTAGGTGTTACAAGCAACATATTTGTTTCAGTAGTCTCCTAGGAAATAAAGCTGGGTTGGATGGGTTGCAATCCCCTGAGTTTTTTTCCTTCTTTCACTCCCTAAACTTTTGCTGAAGCAGGAGTTTGTTTTGACACAGGAACAGGGAGAGCCATGAGCACTTCCCCCTGTCAGGTATGTCCAGGTGCTCCCTCAGAGCTCCTCTGCTGCTGCCCTTGCCAGCCAGAAGGAAAATGCCCCAAATGTAGAAATTTGGGCAACACTGTTTGGGAACTGTTAGATGAACATGGCCAATATAAATACAGATTTCCCTATTATGACACTGTGGAAATATTATAGTGCTGTATTTCAAAACCAGCAGATCGACCCTTAGCCACAAAAGTTGCATTTAACCAGATTGTAACCCAAACCCAGCATTTCACAGCCTACTTGGCTGGTGGGAACATTCAGATATCAGGATGAACAGGTACCTGGTGCACCTCCCTGAAAACTCGACCAGCTCCAGTTGTGCTCGGTGTGGGCTCAGTGATGTGCCAGGCTCCTGCCAAGGTCTCCTCAGACCTTGCACCAAGGGAGTCTCCCAGAAAAGTCAGACCCACAATTTGGGGAGATTCAAGACTCTGTGGGGTATCCTTACAAATCCTGGGCCCCACATTTCACCAATGTATCAATAAGCAGTGCAGTTTCTTAGAAGGAAGTCGATGTAGCTCAGCAGGGAAAGGACAGCAGTGCCAGTGGAGTGCTGAGCCGTGCCTGAGACACAGCTTCCCAAATAAGGCTACAAAGCTCCACGTTCCCAAGGCACAGCTGGATGCTTCTTGAGCACTGGAGGAACTCGAGTGTCTCACAAGAAAGCGAAAAAAAGAACAACCCTCCTCAGAAAAACCCACATGCCAGGGGAGGCCCAGGACTAAAGGCCAAGGGGCACAGACTGAGTAAAGAAAATAAAGAAAATCCTCCCACAAAGTGAAGTCTTTCAAATAACTACCACATGACAATTCAAGACTGCAAGCCAAAAGCTTGCCTCTAGTAATATTTGGTTTATTTAAATTAATTTAATTAAAATTTATTTCATATTATTTTGGCTTATTGGTGATTATTATTAATTTCTCCTTTCCTTCCCCTCTCTTCCTAAATCCAACTTAGTATCACACAAATTAATACTGGCCCACAAGGTCCTCCCTGCTTTTCCCCAGAGGAACATGGCTCAAGTTCCTGGAATTTCAATGGCTTGTAGCTACACCCTCTGACGAATGCATTGGCACTCGCTGTGCACACGGGCAGAGGAGCTGCAGGGCCCTGCAGAGCTCCCAGTTGGTGCCCTCAGGATTCAGCAAATATCTGCAGACTATGTTGGGCAGCAGCTGAGGAAAACCAGTCTGGTTCTGGCAGCTTCAAACCCCATCCCAACTGGCAGAGCCCAGGGTGATCTCTGCTCCCTTCCCAAAACTGCACTTCGAGGAGTGTCCTGGGCTTGCTGCTCCTGGATGTGGAAAAGCACTATACCTGGAACTGCACACAGATGCCACAAATTCCTGCTGGCTCATCCTGGAAGCTGTGCTTTGTACACAGAGCTGGACAGAACCAAACCCAAGCTTTGAGACTAAAGGGCATCCCAGCACACCTGGAGCACGGCTTCCCAATCTTCCCATGAATGTGGCATTTCAACGAGCAGTGCCAGTTTTGACAGGGGTTCTTCCTTTGGAGGGAAGCACAGCATCAGCTCTGGATCCCACTGGGAACTGCAGACCAGGAAAACTGCAAGGAATGCTGCTGCTCTGGGCAGCTGCTGGGTGGAGTTTGTAACTCCTTAGAAGCCATCACCAGAGTGGGCATATTTGTTTCCAGAGCTGCAGCCTGCTTCTGGCATCTCCTCAGGAATTCCCATAACAGGTCTGTCATCCAAGAGAGATGAACTCATAACAGATCAGCCACAGCTCCAAAACCACAATAACATAGTTGCAAGTGTGGCAGAGCTGTGACTTGAGGCACATCCTTGATGTTCACCTGCATTTTCTACCACCATTCATTACCTTGCACTTGGCCTCAGTCTGTCACAGAGTGAAGCTCCCAGCCCTTGCATCACCTAACAATAATAAATTCACTTAACAATGATGAATTAATAATAACCCTGTCCACACAAAGGCTGGTTCATGCCAAAATGCAGCCTGGAGCTTCAGCAGCACTGGAGCAGCTACAGGTTGAATTAGACATGGGGGATTTCACTGCTGATTTGTTTAACCCCAACCTCAGTCACCTCAGTCAGCTGCTGGTGACATTCCACACGTCCAGCGGGCATCACCTGCATCCAGTGCCAGCACCATTGAGAGTCCAGGTGATGTGCTGGTGAGGAAGCTGCAGCAGGATGTGATGGATGAAGACGGGCACTGCAGGGACAAGCCTGCAGCGCTCTGCCCCCGGGGTATGCTCACACCCAGCTCCCCTTTCCCGGCAAATCCAGGGAAAAGGATGGCTTCCTGGAAATCCTAGCCAAAGCCTGTTGGTGGGAGCACAGAGCTTTGCTGGTGCCACTGCCTGACATCACCTGGAAACAGCAGCATCGGAGGTGCTGCTGTCGCCGGACCTCGCCCACCACTCTGCACTGCTGGGACCCCACCCCGGAGCCTCAGTTCCAGTACAGCATCTCCCATCTCCCTGTCTATTCCCAAATCACTCAGGGCACTCCTATGACAGGAACACCTCCTAAAATCCCTTGGAGTGCCCTCACAGCCAGGACCCCTCATTTCCCCCTCCTTGCAGACCCCATTGAGAGACCCCCCCCGCAACTCCCACATTCTCTCCATGACAGTGCGCCCCGACAGGGACTCCTCAAGCCCCTGAGAGTCCCCTCACAGCCAGGACTCTCCGATTTCCCTCTCCCAGGAGGCTCCATCACAGAGACACCCCCCCCTCCAATTCCCTCAGGCCCCTCAGTGATCGAGACCCCTCAAATCGCTGAGAGCTCCCCCTCAGCCAGGACCCCCAAAGCCCCCTCCTAGCACACCGCATTAGAGCCCCTTCCCAATCCCCCAGGGTCCTCCCATGACAGGGACCACTCAAACCCCTGAAAGTCCCCTCACAGCCAAGACCCCCAACTCCCTCAGGGTGCCCTCCGTGCCATCCCACAGCCCCTCTATCGCGGCCGTACCTGACACCACCAGCGCCTCGTTGGGCCCCACCGTGTGGCAGTTCCCCATGACGGCCCTGCCGCCGCCCAGCCCTCCCACAACCCCCCGCGCCTCGCACGGCGGGGGCGCGGCCCGCGGGCACCGCCATCTTGGGGAGGTCGGTGCCACACCTCGGGGGCGGGGCCAGTCTGGGGCGCCGCCATGTTGGGCACCGCGCGCGCGGGTAACATGGGGAGTGTGCGCATGCGCGGTGGGCCAGGGAGTGACTGCATGGGTGTGTGAGGGATGTGTGTGTGTGTGTGTGTGTGTGTGTGAGTGTGTGTGTGAGTGTGTGTGTGTGTGTGTGTGTCTGTGTGTGTGTCTGTGTGTGTGTGTGTGTGTGTGTGTGTCTGTGTGTGTGTGTCTGTGTGTGTGTGTGTGTGTGTGTGTGTGTGTGTGTGTGTGTGTGTGTGTGTGCGGGTCGTGTGTGTGTGTGTGTGTGTGTGTTGGTGTGTGT